CTGCGTGGGGGAGGGAGGGGAGGGTTTGCGGGACTGGGGTGTGCTGATGGGGCGGGGATTGATCCCTCCTCCCCTTGAGCCTGTTTGACTCTGCGTGCTGATGGGACTGTATTTGTATGAGTATCACGGACACACAGACGAGTGTCACGGTTAATGACAGTTTCCCCCCCCCATATGTCGAACAGCTTCGTGTTTTTTGTCACGTTTGGATCAGTGACCGTCAAACGGATATGCCCTAAAGCGGCAAGTTATTGAAAAAAGCTTGGCCGTCAAGAACGTCTAGGGTGCTACCTGAAACCGCTGAAAATGACCGCGCTTGCCTCCCTGAGAAAGTCCATGAACAAGGGCATCTCTGGGCGCGAACTTCTTAAGAAAGCAAGATCCGTAACGGAAGAAGCATCAACTGACGGAACACGCGACCGCGCTAGTTTGCGGTCATGCAGCTGGTTAAGCTTGGTTTTTCTTGGGTGCCTTTTGCAGGTCCCTCAGTGCCGCATCAACTTTGTCGAGCTTCTGGCGCTTAACGAAAGAGATCTCGCCGACTATCGTGCAGTGGACTTGGTAGTGGATATGTTTGCAAGACTCCTCTCTGCAAATGCGGTCACCATCGACTGTCTGCTGCTTCCCGCTTGGCGCCGCAGCCTCTTCTCGCCACTCTCGAAGTCATCGAAGATGTGCAGGAGCGAATCGATTGTCGAGTCTTCCATATTGGTAGGTGCTGCCAGACACAGCCAGTGTCGGCATTGCAGTTCAGCAAAGTAGGCCTTCACGGCTTTGATGACGTGTGTTTTGCCGGTGCCGCCCTCGCCGGTCAGGCACATGCGCAATGGCGCGACGTATTTGTTGTCCCGCAGGTTTTTGTAGTGGTTCAGCAAGTGGCTGTAGATGATTTGGAAAGCCCGCATCTGCTCTTCGTTCAATTGGTAACGGCTCGCCCAGTCAACAGAGAAGTTCCTGTCGTCGACCGTCTCAGACGGCTAGGATGCGGACGCCGGCTGCGCCAGCAATCGAGTGAGGCTGGCAGCATCCATCGAGTGACCACCGTCTGTGAAGAGATTCGACTCGAAGAGAAGCTACTCGGGGGGCTTGCTTCATCTGACGTGGCGCGCTGTGGCCGATTTCATTTACCTTGTTGCGTTGCTGGTGCAGGGCATCCTTGAGCTGATCCTGGCGGCTCCCATTTGATTGACAAGCCGATTGACAGCCATCGAAGGCAGTCTTCAATAGCCCCTTAACAGGCGCGCTAGATTGATACATGTCTATTGATATCATCGCTGGATATCGATAGGTTCACATCCAATTGTATCCAGCGATGCATTGACATACTTGGCGAAGCACGTCTTCAACAAGGGCACAGCAGGAGCGGCAACATGGGGGTGTCTTGTGTTCTTACTGCAGCCCTCTGAGTACCTGCGTGTTATCGCCACGTCTGTCTTCGGGATCTGCATGTTTTTCAAGCTCCCGCCATTGTTGTCTGCATGTTTTTGACACTCTCGCTATTGTTGCATGCGTCGGTGTGCTTCTCGCCAACACTCGTGCTGTGCACGTCTCTGTGACGCATAATTGACCGCCACTTCGCACGCTGCTTTCAACCCCCGCCCAATTCGCGGCCCGGGGTGCCCACGCAGTGGGTGCCCCTTACTCGGAATGCATCTACTTAAAAAAGGTCCCTAGAAAAAAGTTAGGTTGTCGTTGGGTTATCGCCTGTAAAACTGTGGTGTCGTCGTAGAGCTCACCCGCTGGCAAATCAACTGAGGTAAGCAGCAGCCACCTCACGACACACGCACATATCCATTACTGTGGGCCTCGGATAAATGGGACCCTGCTTATATGGGAAAATCGATATATGGGAAAATCCCATTTATCCGTTGTGATCGTTTGCGCAATTTACAAGCTGGTGACTTGTGAGCCGTCGCAATGACCTGCATGTGGTCCAGCGTGCCTCGCTGATCACTGTGAACCAAATTTCACCCTCAAACACCGACAAACAAGCGAGATCGGGGCCGCCAAAGCGGGGCCAAGCAAGCACGGCAGAAGCAGCGAAGCAAACAAGCAACGGAGCAGCATGAATGGCTCTCCCCAGAAGCATTTGCAATGAAACAGCGAGTCAACAACCATCGTCAAACGAGCAGGCGGCCGCCTGCGGCCCTCCTCAACGCGGAGTGAGGAGTGCTTCTCTCGAGAGCCTCTCCGCCTCTCTCGAGAACCATAGAAGTCATCATCGCATCGTCTGCTCCCCTCTTCTCAGCCATGAGCTTCTTTTCAAAGTTGTTCGACTTTCAAGCTTTCGACGGCGAATCATTCATTGAGTGATTTGAGAAGAATGAGTGCATCATTCATCATCAGTGAGTGAGGCGGAGCGAGAGATGAATGCCGAGCAGGCTATGGCAGAGCAGGACTTTTACGGGTATAAGGGCTCATGAGTGTCCTCTCCTCTCTCCTCCACCACATGACGCACCGAGGCCACTGCCATCTGGTCCGCCTCGGCACGACGCATACGACGATGTGCGATTTGTCGTGTGAGGCTCCCGGCCTCTCCGGCTGAGCACACGGCAGCCACGGACGTTGCATGGAGAAGCAAAAGCGCCCTTTCGGGGATTGAACTCGCCCTCCATGCACCCTCGTGCTTTGCCCTCAGGTATGCACCCTCGTGCTTTGCCCTCAGGTATGCACCCTCGTGCTTTGCCCTCAGGTATGCACCCTCGTGCTTCGCCCTCGGGTGGGCTGTGCGTTGACCCCAGTGGAGATGAATGAGGACTCAGCGGCGAGAGTGATCCAACGGTCGGCGAGAGCGTCTCTGTGGCGGCGAC